AAGCCCCCATTTTTTTTTTTTTTTTCAAAAAGTGCATTTTGCAATAGTGTTATGATAGAGAATGTGTAATTAAAAAATAAGATTTTTTTTTTAAAAAAAAATTTGCGTGTAATATTATTTTATTAAAAAATGTGTGGTTGAAATATGGTCAATTCACTATTCAATAATACATTTTGATGGAAAAAATGGAGCTCAAACAAGGACTATATAATTCGTTATCTCCAAGGGCGGATAGAGAAGGGATTCGATTAGGCTGTAGTCCCCAACCCATTTCATTTTTGTATTTAAAGTTTTCTCTTTTTTTGTGTAATTTTTTTTTACATAATAACCCAACTTAATTTTTTTAGTCGGTTCTTGAATGAAGTTGAATCCATCCCTAATATCTTTGAGAAGTAATTAATATGGGCTTACTGGATTAAAAACATGAACTAGTTGGTCAAGATGATGAGTATTATTTAATACACATAAAACACACTCATCAACTAGTTTATCTATACACATAAAGCATTATCTATTACGATATTTGAGAAGTTGATTCACAAGATTAGAATGCACTAATGTAGAGATCTCGGGTGATGTTACCATAATAGAGAATAAATGCGCGTCGTATTCATTTTTTATTTCGAAGTTTTTTCGTACTGAACTTTTTGTACAAGTGTTTTAATGAAACAACTTTCCTTGCGATTTGGAAAAATAATGCACTATTTTCTTCATTAGGACTTTCTCACAAAGTTTTTTGAATCATATACCTTATGTAATGGACATTCAAGAAGGGTGTTTAGATTCTAGGTAATGGATGCCCATAACTCTCCCATGTATTCAAATCCATAGATTACAGATGTTTAAACCGCAATGAGTTAATTGTATGCTTTAATTTTTCTCATCGATATGCAACTCATGGTTGGTTGTAATTTATATTTTAAATATTGTAAAAGATCAATGAAATATACAAATGAAAAGCAATAACCTATTCATCCCTATATTATCTTGGGTTTCTAGTTCGTTTGTTATATATTTGCCTTAAAGCGTAATAGTAAATCCGCCCTTGCTCATAAGAAGAAAGTGTTATGAAGAGCTAACATCGTTAATAACTAGACATGTATTAACTTGTAACTAGGAAGATGGCACACGAAATTGTTTTGATATTACCCTCGTTTTATTACCTTACACGTCAAATTGTCACCCAAAATAACTTCATGGGGTACATTTTTTTGGATATGTANATATAATTAATTAAGTAATTCATAAATAAATTTAAATAAAAACCTGATTTTTGAATGTTAAAACATCTAACCTTAATTTTGAAATGGTAATAAATAAAAACCTGATTTATGTAGACTTCCCGCGATATAATTCATTATCTCCAAGGGCGGATAGAGGAGGGAGTGGATTAGGCTATAGTCCCCCAACCCATTTCATTAATATGGGCATATTGGATTAAAAACGTGAACTAGTTGGTCACGATGATGCGCATTATTTAATCCACATAAAACACACTCATCAACTAGTTTATCTACACATAAAGTATTATCTATTGCGATATTTGAGAAGTTGATTCATAAGATTAGAATGAACTAATGTAGAGATCTCGGGTGATGTTACCATTAGAGAGAATAAATGCACGCTGTATTCTTCTTCTTTTTTTATTTATAAGTTTTTTCGTACTGAACTTTTTTTAGCAAGGATTTTAATGAAACAACGTACTTTCATTGCGATTTGGAAAAAAAAATGCACTATTTTCTTCATTAGGACTGTCTCACAAAGTTTTTCGAATCATATACCTTATGTAATGGACATTCAAGAAGGGTGTTTAGATTCTAGGTTATGGATGCCCATAACTCTCCCATGTATTCAAATCCATAGATTACAGATGTTTTAACCGCAATGAGTTAATTGTATACTTTAATTTTTCTCATCGATATGCAACTCATGGTTGGTTGTAATTTATATTTTAAATATTGTAAAAGATCAATGAAATATACAAATGAAAAGCAATAACCTATTCATCCCTATATTATCTTGTGTTTCTAGTTCGTTTGTTATATATTCGCCTTAAAGCGTAATCGTAAATCCGCTCTTGCTCATAAGAAGATAGTGTTATGAAGAGCTAACACCGTTAATAACTAGACATGTATTAACTTGTAACTAGGAAGATGGCACACGAAATTGTTTTGATATTACCCTCGTTTTATTACCTTACACGTCAAATTGTCACCCAAAATAACTTCATGGGGTACATTTTTTTGGATATGTATGTGGGCGTGTCTTGGCATTGAAGCTACAATTGTCAAGTTAGCTTGCAGAATAATTTTAGAAATGGAAAAACAATGATTGGTTATATGGATTTATGTTTAATGGACCACACAGTACCACTTGCAAGCTTTTTGACTGCTGCATTTAAGATGATGATCAAACTGCTCTTCAATTTCTGTACAAATATCCACAGAATCGCCAAAACAATAATACTTTCAAAGCCTCACACATTGAAGTGTGTGCCTGTATTCAATTCCAAGTCATCGGATCATATCCGTGTCGCGTGTGCTCATTGTATACTGGATGAGAGATTCATTTTTCGTCAAGACAAGTTTAGAGTCAAAGGTACCAAGATTTTACAGTCCACGATAACCTAATTTATTTTTGTCATAAAAAGGACTTGTCCCTGAAGCTATATCATTCTATTTTTCTAGTGATTATTAAAACCTATATATTAGACTAATATTGCAAGGTTTATCTTCGATTATATAAGCAAGTTGAGACTACAAAATATGGAACTTAAACAAAGATTAGTCACATAAACCAGGGAAAAAAGAAAGAAGAAAAAAAGGACCCACGTAGTATGACTGCTTCGTGCATCAAATAACAAATTGACATGTCTATGTCACGTAGCACGACTATTGATAGTTTTCAATATGAATATCATTATTCAAGTTAATATGCAGCTTCTTTACATGGAAATATCTGTTATCTGGTTGACAGAAAACAACAATTAATAGAGATTCTCAAAAAATCCAAAATATGTGGTAGAGATGGCTTCAGACAATAGATCTTGTTTTTTTTCTATATTTGTTTCATTAAGTGTAGTTGCCTCACAGTTGCATGCTTCCAAGGAAATAATTAAAATCTACTCAAAAAAGACAAGATATCAAGAATCAAAAAAGTAAATGGTTAAAAATTAGTTGAGTGCATGCAATAAACTGGAAATTTAGCAGCAAACCTGCTCAAGATATATGTACTTCCAGTATACATATTGTTGCTTGTTGAATTGACAGGAAATAGAAAATCACTTATTCAAAACTGCTTAAAATTAACCAAAATGATAAAGAAAAAAAAAGGCAATTTTCCTTGTTATAAGGAAGCTTTAAAGCTAAATGGGAAGATGCATATAACAAAGTTCCAAGAAACATGTTCCATCTTTTCTTTTTCAAGTTTCAATGATTCAAAGTTGCAATTTCCAACATTTTGCACTACACAAGCGATTCTCTTTTAGATTAATTTTTGTACAGGGAAATGAGTTTCCCTCCTTTTTGCCTATTTTAGGGAAGAATTGTTGGGAGTGCATAAGAATCCCCTTTTTTCTTTATTGAAAGCTTGAGGCACAAGTTCATCAATTTACCCTAATTCCAGGAGTATAATCCCCTCAAGCTACTAGAGGGGGAGGAGGTTGCTGGTTTTCAACTGGGGTTTTGTTTATTTATTTCTTCAGTTTCTTGAGCATAGAGAAAATCATCTTGTTGAACCATGTAATGCAAAAACAGGTCAAATTTTAGTTTTTCACCAGAGTTCCTAACACGTGCACAATTTTCATACATGGTTGGCACGAAAAATTGACCTAGGACATATGCCTCTTATAACTCATTTAAAAGCTTAAGTTGTGCGAAAAAATTATTTAATTCTTCCTTCAACTGGTCTTACAAGTTCCTCACTATTTCTCACTTTGTGCATACAGTAGTAGAGTTGTATATGGCTAGTTGGGTGATATACTTCACTAACTGATGGTTTAAACAATACAACATCCTCTTAATGGTGTCAAATCAACTATAGATCCATATATAGTTAAAACCATTTGTTTTATTTTTTATTTTTCTAAAAACCATTCTCCTTTTTAATCAATAGCAACTTGCATGGCATCCTAGTTAATTAATTATATAAATTTTATGTGATCTTTTACTTTTATTTTGTGTGTTGGAGAAGCAAATTTAGACTAAAACACTTGTGTGTATCTATTATATCTCTTCATTATAAAATCTAAGATTGTCTCACAAACTGAATAAGAACAAAAGAGAACAAAACAAAATTTGCCACTAAATAATGCCTAATCAAATTGCTATTCCTAATTGGTGCATCAATTCTTCAAATTGAACACATTAAGAAATAATTCAATTATTAAATATGTTATTGTGATTTCATGGAAAATTAGTGTATAAAAAGGACCAAAAATTCCAATACATGAGATGAGAAATTATGTAACTATTCTTAGAATTAATGCTGCAGCCTAAAACATGCAAATGCAAGTTCTCATAATTTTTTGCAAAGGCAAATTCAAGAAATCCTACTAAATATTCATATTAGCATTTTGAAGATTACAACCAAACCAAATCAAATTGAAGGTCAAACAAAGAAACCAGATTTTTCCAAGCAATACAATGTACACATGAAGTTGAACCTACTGACCTTAAAAATAAACTCTAAATTCATCTGATCTGCACCAACTCGATCATGATCTTGATAAAAATTGAACAAAATCTCTCCTTTTTTCTTCCTTCAGATTCAAGAAAATGCCAATTTTGTTCACTCTAGCTATATTACCAATGCTAATTTCGTGCATAAAAGCCGTATTTATTTAACTCCGTTCATCCCATTTTCGATTTGCCATCACCAAAAGGCGAGAAGATAACATGAAATAAGGCTAGTAATACACTCAAGCCAAGAAATTGTAACACTGTTAAAATGGTGGCCTTGCAGAACTTCCGCCCCACCCACCGAACAAATCAGCTGAAAAGGGATAATTTGGGGGCTCATTTCCGCCTGAATTCAAGAAAGAACCACTACCACCGTTGCCATTACCTCCACCACCACCACCACCGGCTGTGACACTTGATGATTGCGATGCAGCAGGCGGAGTTTGAGCAGTGCCCTCTTCCTCAAAAGGCAACCGTTCAAAAACTGCATTTGCAAATGAAGCAGCCATCAGAACCACTGGACCTGAAGCAATCAAAGGCCCAACTACACTCCCACCAACTACCTGTCCCTGCCCTCCCGACAAGAATATCGACAGACCACCAGCACCCGGCGGTGCAGGAGGCGGAAGCACCGTTCCGGAAAGGGAAAGTAACTCGAATCGGCCATGAAGTGTCACCACATTCCCGGTAGGTGCCGCCGGCTGACGCAGCGTGACATTTGAAACCGTGCCGCTGCCACTGAGAACACAAACCCCTCTTCCCCTCCGCCTCGCATATACGGATACATTCTCCACTATATCACTGCCAGCTGAGACTTCAAGAACATGAGCTCGGAGGGCATTTGGGCTGTCCCTGGTGACAATTATTGGAGGCTTTGGCTTGTTTTTGGAACCAGGAGGTCGGCCCCGGGAGCGTCGGTTGGGGTTTGGCGTGCCACCAGAACTGGTGGTGGCAGCCGTGTCTGTATCAGTTTTTTGGTTCTTTTCAGGCGAGTCTTTGGAATCTGAAGGCTCAGTCCCTGTATTATTCTGGTGTTGGACAAGTGATGATGGTCTCCGCAAATGGAGCTCCGGGCTGAGAAGCTGATGAACGTAGCGAGAACCTGACCCTTGCTCGTGCCCCGCCATTCCGCGTCTACTTAATTCCTATATATTATGGATAATCTCACGAAAACAAGACCGAATTTTACAAAAGATCTTCAAAAAACAATATTTAGATCCACGGTGAAGGACTATTGACTAGACTCCGAAAACTGAAATCCATTTATGTTCTTCAACTATTCATAGTTGAATTTCAGCAGCACACCGTATTCATCTCTCCACTTCTTGACTCCAACTTGGATGACAAAAAAACAAACAAAGATTCAAATCCAAGTGGCTCAAAAGTCAAAGAACAGACGCGCGATTGATCTAAGCCAAATAGCCCTTCAACTTTGAATGGAAATCTTGAAATCAAGTTCACAAGACTCGAATTTTTATTCTGTTTTCCAATTTGGTGAATAATAGAGAGGGTGGGGCATACTTACGGATGAAGAAAAACCTCGAAAGATATTCCGAATTCAGACTGGTCAGTAGTGAAGTTAGCAAGACGAGCGAGGTGAAATGAATATAAAGAAATGAAAAGTAAGAATATTTATAACGCAGTGACAAATTAAAACTCGAACATGGCAGACCACGCTGTAAAATGGAACCAGAAGCATAAGGCGGTGTAAATGATTCCGTCGTGACAAGGTTTTGTGTAAAGCAATGCCTTTTTAGTTTTTATTTGTAATTTTTTTTTTTTTTTTACTCAAA